GGAGGAGGGGAACTTAATCATAAGATTTCGTTCCTGGTTAGCGACGACTTGCCATTCGACATGTTGTTACGCATGTACTACCTTGAGGTTGCAAAGCCCCAGTTTGACTGGGACAAGAAGGTGCTAAAACACAAGTTGCTTGATGGCAGAACAGTCAGATTGACTAAGTTCAAAGCCAGTAGCATTATAGATACCTATGGATGCTTGTGTGCATCGGCGTTCTATAATTATTACAAACAGAACCAAGAGGAGGGTATGTACCTAGTGTATGTCTCTGAGAAAGGGGCGGCCGTTAAAACACCCCCAGAGATAAAACACGTCGTTGCTAAGTTCCCTGAACTGTTCACGGAGCCTACACGAGTCGTAGAAAGGGAGGTTGTCCACGCCATAGAAATCATTCCAGGGAGTAAAACCCCAAAGGGAAGGATCTATAGGACGGCTCCGGCCGAGTTGGATGAACTTCGGCGACAACTGAAAGAGCTGACAGAGAAGGGATGGATCCGGCCGAGTACTTCCCCTTACGGATCGCCAGTACTATTTGTACCAAAGAAGGGGGGTACATTGAGGATGTGCATTGACTATAGAGGCCTCAATGCCATCACAGTGAAGAACGCAAAGCCTCTACATCGCATAGACGACCTATTGGATAGGGTGCAGGGATGCAAGTACTATAGCAAGGTAGATTTAAAATCCGGCTACCATCAGATCGCAATAAGACCTGAGGATCAGCACAAGACTGCATTTCAGACCAGATATGGTCTTTATGAGTTTGTTGTAATGCCTTTTGGCCTTTGTAACGCACCGGGTACATTCCAGCACGCTATGAATAGGATCTTTCATGACCACTTAGATAAGTTTGTCGTTGTCTACTTGGACGATATTCTTATCTTTAGTAAGTTTGTCGAAGAGCATGCACAACACGTTGAAACTATACTTTCACTCTTGCGACAACACAAGTATAAGGTCAACTTAGAGAAATGTGAGTTCGAACGCACTAAGATCTTATACTTGGGTCATGAAGTATCCGCGGAAGGGATTAGGCTGGAAGATGCGAAGGTGGCCAGTATAAGGGACTGGCCACGACCTCAGACAGTTACTGAGGTCAGATCTTTTCTTAGGAATGTGTGGCTATTATAGGAACTTTGTGAAAAATTATTCCACAGTCGCCTCTCCTTTGACAGATCTAACTCGACTTGACACGCCGTGGGACTGGAGTGATGAGTGCGAGACTGCTTTCAAACGATTGAAGCATGCACTCATGAATCATGAGGTTCTCATGGTGTCCGATCCTCAGAAGCCTTTCATTGTAACCACTGACGCAAGCCAATACGGCATTGGCGCAGTGCTGGCTCAGCAGGATGGGAAGAAGTTGAGACCGATTGAGTACATGAGCAAGAAAATGCCATAAAAAAAACTGGCAAAGTCCACCTACGAAAGGGAACTCTATGCTCTTTACAAAGCCCTTGTTCATTGGAGGCATTTCCTGTTGGGACGGTTGTTTTACTTGAGAACTGACCATCAGACCCTCAAATGGATCAAGACTCAAACAACTCTCTCTGATGCACTCAAGCGATGGATTGAGGTCATAGATCAATATGACTTCAAGCTAGAGTATCTGAAGGGAGAGTACAACAAGGTTGCAGATGCGCTGTCCCGTATAGCAGACTACCTAGGGGCGCTAGTTTCTGAGTTTGGTGTATCTCAGGAAGTAACTCAATCGTTGGTGGGAGCCTATCAGGAAGACCCTGTCACGATGGACATCATACGCAAACTTCAGGCAAAAGACAAGGCCACAGAAAGTGAGTTTGTGATGGTGGATGGGTTACTCTTTCTTGATAAGGCCGTTCTTGATAAGGCCGGGTGTAAAAGGTTAGTAGTTCCATCGAGTGAGAGTTTGCATAGTTTATTTCTAGGGGAATGTCACGACGAAACTGGACACATCGACTACAAAAAGACGAGTGTCAATCTAGTACAGCGATTTTGGTGGCCTGGAATGCTAGATGCTGCAAAAAAGTATGTAGAGACCTGTCAGGTCTGTCAGCGGGACAAGCCGCGAACTCAAGCACTGCTTGGGTTGTTGAAGCCCTTACCTATCCCCGCTGGTCCAGGACAGAGTGTTTCCATGGATTTCATGGACACCCTGGTGACCAGTAAGAGTGGCAAGAGGCACATCTTCGTCATCATCGATCGATTCACCAAGTACGCTAGACTAATTGCCATGCCAGATACAGCAAGAACTAACCATGTCATCAAGTTGTTTATGGACAACTGGGTGCGTGACTTTGGACTACCAAAGTCAATCGTTAGTGACAGAGATGTCTGATTCACAAGCGAGCTGTGGAAGAAGACTGCTGAACAGATGGGCAGTCAACTTCAAATGACTTCAGGGAATCATCCCGAAGCCAATGGACAAGCCGAACAGATGAACCGAGTTGTACAACACTTGCTGAGGCATTACATCAAGCCCAGCCAGGATGACTGGGATGAGAAGTTGCCTCTCATCGCTAGCCTGTACAACAATGCTGTACACAGCAGTACCAGCGTCAGTCCTAATCAGCTGCACTTGGGATGGAAGCCTAGATCAGCTCTAGACTTCCTCCTACCTGAAAACCGATCCTCTGCAACTCCGGCACACTTGAGTATGGTGTGCAATATAAGAAGTTGCTGCAGCAAGCTGTCGAGCACATCAGTAAATCTCAGCAAGCAAGGATTGCTTATGAGAACAAACACCGTCGGCAGTCCTCGTTTCAGGTAGGGGAACGTGTCTGGGTCAAGGCTAGTGAGCTAGGACAGGAGTTCGGAATCTCTCGCAAACTAATGCCTCAGTATTTTGGTCCATGGGAAGTCTTGGATATAGTTGGGGATGAGATGGATGGTCCTACCTATGTTATCCGTATCCCTGGTCATCAACACACTCACCCTGTCTTTCATGCCTCAAAGCTTGCACCTTTCGCTGAGACAGATCAATTCCCTTCAAGGAGATCGATGCTGCCCCCAACCATGGATGGTCAAGTGGACATCGACGATATTGTGGATCACAGAGATCTGCCTGTTCAGTAGCCATTGGGTAGAGGAAGACCTCCAAAACCCAAGCGGGAGTATCGCGTCAAATTCAGGCATCATACAGATCCAAAGGAAGATCGATGGTTCACCAGAGAGGAACTGATTGACACAGCTCCTCAAGTGGTGGCATAATATAAAAGAATGTTAAAAGGGATGGCACCTGCGAAGTAAGCATCTCAGCGGACTTTCGAAGCTAAGGGGGATGGAATGTGAGGATTGAGCCCTCAAGAAGGGGCCTTGCCATAATGTACATGTTCTGGGCTAAGGCCCCAGCAAGCCTCGTGCCCGCCCTAAGTGAAGGCGGGCCAGCAAATCAACAAGAGCCCTCTGTGCAAACATTTCACGAAGTGGGGTCCATACAGTTGCAGCACGCCAGTTGGTTGGAGGCACCGAGTATCGGAGCTCTGCAAATGCAGAAATCCCAGGGCCCCGGAGTTGGTTAGGCCCTGGGCACATAAACGTGAGGCCGACATTGCATACTGGAAATAGAGGCCGAAAATGCCAATGGGATACGGGTCCACTATCTGAATCTGGACGCAGGCCTGGATGAAAGAGGCACAACTGTACTGCGTGGGCCCCAACCGCATTGGGCCTGGGTGCAGATACTGGGGCCCAGGCGCAGGCTCAAGGGAGGCCGCCCACACGCAACACTGGCATATAGGCAGGGAGGGCGAGTGGGCAGGGATCTTGGCCATTGCGAGCAAGGCCGGCACGCTGCTGCGTTGCATGTGTGCTGCGCTGCGCTAGSCTGAGCAGAGGCAGGCAAGCGCTAGCGGTAGAGCGCTGCCTGGGCGCAGGGCGCTGGCGGCCATAGCCGGGCTGCCTGTGGGCGCAGAGGAGGAAGGGCGAAGGTGGTKCTTCGGAGGTGAAGGGCGCTGTGTGGGATAACAAGGGAGAGTGAGGGAGAAGAGAGAGACGTACCTGGTGGAGAGGRGARGTCGGCATTGGTGTTGACATSATCACTCGCTGRTCGTCAAGTTGTCTGGTCGCTTACATGCTGTAGTTGTAGTGCTAGRCTGTAGAGTAGGTAGGGCGCCAGGCGCCATTCAAGAGAGAGAGCTACATGGGGTTATGCTGTTGGTGTTGCCCGATTGGGCTTGGACATTGACTCACGATTCTTCTGTATCGTTCTCAAATGGATGGTTACTCGGTTCCATTGTGCTATCTGCTCTTGCTTTGACTACTTGGACTTCAGTGTGATTTTGCAATCTGGATTTCTGTGCTTCGTCCACATTCATGTTCCTTGCACATGTTCAAGACTGCGCCAGCCACGGCGTGGTGCCCTGTTGGCCAGGCATATTTTGGCAACGTTCCCTCGTGTGTTTGGGGTGGAAGAAACAATTACCGATCGGGGATAGTGATTCCATCCAGCGTGATGATGAGAGATAGATTGAACTACCGGTTCCGTAACTTCCAAGGAAGCTCAACCTTAGAGGGTGTCACTGTTCTATGTTCTAAACTACTGGTTGGACAGTGTGTCAGCAGACTCAGCACTCAGCAATTCATGACTACCATCTTCACCCCAAATAGAACGCCCCAGTCGTTATTGCCGTATCTAGTCTGAAAGTTGCAGAAAATACAGGCATAATGATGACTGTATTCAGGTGAAGACAGTAGCATTTCCTGTTTGAAAAAGAAGAGAACATTTTTTTTAGTAACTTGACTGACTACTTCCACTGTGGAACAGGAGGGAAGAAGGTCAGCAGGTGGGAATTGAGTAGGGAAGGACAGCAGCAGGAGAGGATAAAGTAGGGAGGGGGTTAAGGAGGTGAGAAGGGACAAAGGAGGGGGGAGGAGGGGGGAGGGACAGGAAACGTATCGGCATCGACAAGAGAGAAGTGAGGACACAGCAACATGACACCTGCAGAGGTAAGCAGTAGTAAACACCCTCCCTTGTTGGGTTATGTCCGTGGTACATTCCCGGGATGTAGACATACCCTGTACAGAACGTTGGCGATGGAGTTCCGGTAAAATACCCCAACATGATTGGGGTTGGCGACAGAAACCATGACCGTTAGATTGACGTCAAGCACCAATTCTGACACAACTCCCCCACCCTCAGATGGCCTCTTCGCCGATCGAAGCTTTAGTGCCGACACTGTCACGTCCACCAGGTCGAAGTCAGGGGATCGAGGCCGGAGTATCACGCCAGCTGCAATGATGAGAGCAATGATAGCCACTGCGAAGACTGGCACGGTGAGTCGTCTTGACCACTGACAGCTCGCTCTGCGAAACACATGTTTGTCTTCTTCGTGCAAGGTTAACAGTGGCGGATAAGACTGCGCAGCATTCCCAGTATGCCAACACGTAGCTGGATCGTACATCAGTGGTTGTTGTAGTGTGTTGATAGACAAGTGAATCACCGGCATGGAAGGGGCATGAGATCCAGGCAGATACCCAATCGCTGGTGAAGACGAACTCACATCTACCCCATGACTGCTCTGACAGTGATGGGCAACCACAGGTGTCGCTGGCCAAGAGACGGGCACCGACATCGGCGGTGGCGCTTGATGACGATAGCCATTCCCTGCTGTGTTATGACACATTCCCTGGTAGATGGGAACCGTAATCCCTGTGTTGCTGCCAAGGGCATGATATGGATGGAAGGCCATAGGATGATCAGCACGGACTTGAGCAGCAGCATCCATGTGGCAGGCCGTTGCCCGCGGATCTGCCATCATTTTGACCGTTGGATGGATGATATGCACTGCCTTGGGATCTGCTGCCATCCAGACATGCCCCTCCTTCGCACGACCCGCTGTACCTCGTTTCTCATTCGCTGGAATCTGCAGCTCCTCTCCACCTCCAGTGCCTCCCTTTGCCTTGCGCATTGCAGCCGCAACTGACTGATCAATCCCCTCTAGCCTCAAAATGTGCAGCTTTCTCTGCAGCTCCTGTTGCTGGCGTCCAAGCCAAAACCAAGTTGCCCTCCAGCACGCACAACGAAAGATGAAACTTCATGAAACAATTCCACATATTCTGCAATCCAGGGAGAAAGGAGAGGCAATCTGTTCGTTCAGTGAAAGATAGAAATATGATAGCGAAAACATTATGATGTGACAGTGGACTCATAAGAGAGCGGCGACGGGTGTCTCAAGATTCAACACCATTCGCTCGACAATAAACAAAAAGAAACTCACACGACACTTCCCTCCGTCATGGCCATAAGCTGAGGGTTTCTCAACTTCTTACCCTCTGGAAGAGTTTACAACTTTACATTCATACCCCTCCCACTATTTTTGGAACCAAAAAGCCTGCTAGCAAAGTAAGGGTATCCTCCGGGGAGTCTTGCCTGTATAAGCCTCCTGTCACGGTGGCCGGACCCTCCTTTCCCAAATTTATTTGGCTTCGGGGGATATTAAATAACCAGCCGTTGGTGTTCAGGGAGCGTTGATGAGTGAAATCGAACGTGTCCCCAGCCCTCGAAAGTTGAGTGTGTTCCGTTTCACGCAAAAAAAAAAAGCCTGGGGCACTTACTCTACGTGTCGTACATGCAGTGTCTGACAACATCTTCCACTTCCCCTACGTCGCATATTGCGCCCAGCTCCTCGATGCTACTTCTGAGCTCCCTCCTCCTTCGCTGGTTCAGTCATTTGTTAACCCAGTACAGTAAATAGTAAATAGGCAATCAGCCATTGTAGACAGTTCCTACCCTACCGTTTCTTATTGCTACCTTCTTCCCCCGAATACAACGCACGGTCATTAAAGCTGTATTTCAACTGAAAGATACCCCAAATACAGCCATAATGACTGTACGTTGTATTCGGGGTAAGAGGGTAGGACTGAGACCCATGGTATCTTTAGTATCCCTGCCATACTTAATTCAAAAAATGTTTCAGCCACCTTTTGCTCTATGATAGCCTGTCTGTCATTGCTAATCTATGGCTGACTCAGTCTGAGCCTGTATCCCAACCAAGTAGTGTACTATTGGGGAAGCAGTTTGATGAACTTCGATCCCTTGGACCGCATTCAGCCTTATTTAATTTCAAACCTATTTTCTCGTGTTGTCCGCTGAGAAGGAACCTGTTGAACCATCATCTGAACTGCACCCCTTTCAGGATGCCACAGGTGCACACAGGCCTGTGGGTCATCTTGTATCACTGACCCCCCTTAAACCACCAGTACACCCAGGCCTGGGGGCGGTGCACTGCGCGCCAAGCTTTGCCAAACCACCGATGGTACACTTTTTGCCTTTTTTGGCTGATGCCTCCAGCCATTGCGGTCCGGTAGCCCTGAGATGAAGAAATCTTGCAAGGCTGGGGCCATGTACTGGAAGTTTGAACCACCACTTCGGGCAAGACATCAGTACATGTATTGGTCCTGCATGCCCATACTGATGGTTTAAACTTTAAACCACCACTACCAATAGTCTGCACCCTCAGCCTCCCCCGCCCTCTGGTTAACAAGGTGCTGCGGAAAGGCTCGACCTACCGGACCAAAAAAGGATGGTGGCGCATGGCGGTGCCTTGTAGGCATGTGTGTGCTGGCGGTGCCATTTAGGGGCATGTACGGCACCTTTCTGCAAAATGGCTGGGGGAACGCACCGGTGGTTTGAGCCACCACTCCATTTCAAAGTGCGGGACACACATTTTCTGGCCATAGGATCAAACATCCTTCCTTCAGCCATGAAGTTCCTAGTCCCATTTGGCCTTGGCACCATTTTCCCTTCGGACTGCCAAGCCTTTGGCCTTGGCACTCTATCCCTTGTCCTTTTTTTTCATTAAGTCGCAGGCCACGATCCCAGGGATGGTATGAGAAGCACTCCGATTGTGGCTTTGCTTAGAGAGAAGGCTTTGATATGTTGGTTGGGAGAAGCACCTGCTGAAAAAAGTGCTCCAGCATCCCAGTATAAAAAGTAAGGCAGGGGGGAACCCATGAGCACAAGCCGCTTCTGCCCTGAACGGCGCCAGAAAGCAGAGAAGGCAGAGTGACAGCAAACTTACCAGCATTGAATGCCCTCACCAGAGCTGGAGGTCAGGGGTTACCTGCCAGGAGGGATGTCATCAAGACCATACCAGCAACAACAACAACAACAACAACAACAACAACAAAAAAAAAAAAAAAAAAAAAAAAAAAAGAA